AGAGAGTCCCGGATTAGCGGATGCATCAGTGCTTACAGAGGGCCGTGATTAATCCAGCCCTATGGCCCGAAAGCCGATGAGTCGAGCGACCTGCAGGCAGTCCAAGTGGAACGGAGACGACGATGTTTGCGCATTCAGATTGATCCGCGACTGCCAGATGCAACTCGTCTCTACGACGTGTAAATTCGTCTCCCCCCCCTCCATCGCCATCGCCCTGTCGTCGTCGTCGTCGTCCTCGTCGCTGTCGCCGTCACCGTCGCCGTCGTCGTTGTCGGCGGAATATAAATCGTCGCTGAAATGAGTGCGGAGGAGGGCAAAGTTGCTCGGCAAGAAGAAATACAACGATCTCATTCCTAAGTGCCAGTTAAACCGCCGGCTTATCGGCGAACCGAATCACGTCGCGGATACCGGCTATCGATCGGCGAGCATTATCGTAATGAAGAACTATTATCCGTCGCGGGGAGTAAAAGGTTGAGAGCGCGCAATAAGCGTAATGCTATATCTTATATTCGCCGACTGCGAGATGAACGCGCACGAAAATGCCGAGTTTTTCCCTCCCTCCCTCCCTCCCTCCCCCGTCCAATTCGCCTCGTCCTGCCCGAGCGTCACTTTGCGAAAGTGCATCGCGGGAACTTGACGATAATTAACGCATTGCAACGTTATTATTAATGGACCGAGTTGCCGCGGCACACGCGACCCCGCGCGCTCGTAATTAATGAATCGCCTCGCGGTGTTAACCGAGGCGTGGATGTGGATCGACGCACGCGTCGAAGGGCCGAGAGTTTTCCAGCAATTTTATCTGCTTCTCATTGGGATTAGGAGTAATTTTAGGAGCGATTAGAAGACAGGAGGGAGAGGCGACGGGTGGAACGCGATGTGGAAACAATAATCGCCGTTACAACTTGGAGTCTAATTAAACGCGAGGCATTAGTTAACGAGCTGTAGTAGTTATTCGGAACCGAACACGCGAGGACCCAACTTTGCAATTAAAATTCAGCGGCTGACAGTTTCAGCGGGCGGTAACTGCAATCTTGAGAAGAGACCACGCTCGATCACCCGGTCAACCCGTTATTATATCCCGAGGCTATCGCCTAGCTGCTGCTGCTGCTGCTGCTGCTGCTGCTGCTGCTGTCGCCATTGCTGCTCGTTTCGACGAGCGTCGATTATCGTCATTAATCCGCGAGTCTCCCTCAGTTACGTATCGAGTCGAATCCGCGAGAAAGAAGAATTCACGATTATTTCCGAAGCGAGAGAGAGAGAGAGGGAGAGAGAGAGGGGGGGAGAGAGAGAGAGAGAGAGAGAGAGAGGCAACGACCGACGCAAACACGGCGTCCCGAGCGGCGCTTATCTCGGCTGTAATAAAAAAATAACGCGAGTCAACCGGGACACGTTTCGTGCGGACGAGAGGAAAATGCGTTCGAACGCGAATTCGATCAGCGGAACGCCAAGCTCTCTCTCGAACGAGACGAGAGGTCTCCCCCCTCCTGCCTGCCCCACTCGAACGAGAGACGGACAGAGCGATGCGACGCACGTGCGAGGTATCGGATCACGTGGGGAAGTAAAAGTTAATGTCCGCGGCGCGTATTACATGTAAACCGGCGGCGACGAGAGGGCGGAGAGAGGCGTCGTTATCTCCGCATCGTGACGATTCGAGCCTTCCGGCATAGCTGCGGCTGTTATCCGTCATCTTAATGCATAGCCGGAACACCGAGCGACGCACCACCGGCTTATAAACGGCGCGATTATTCCACCCCGCCCGCTACCCACCCTCCCCACCCGCCCGCACCTTCTCCTTCGCCTGACATCGTCGTTCTCGGGTAAGCAATGTCGGCCACACGGACGAGGACGGAGGTCCTCGTGGTCTCTATAAGTGCATCGATTTGAATTTCATAGGGAAGGAAGGGGGGAGAGAGAGAGAGAGAGAGAGAGAGAGAGAGAGAGAGAGAGAGAGAAAGGGAACAAACGCAAACCAGTAGGATGAATAGTTTTCAATATCTTTCCTCTTGTCGATCCTTCGCGATTCCTACACGCCGTCCACCGCGTATAAATCATTTTTTGTTCACGGGATCTCCCTTTCATTCCTTGCTTTCCTACCTCTCTCTCTCTCTCTCTCTCTCTCTCTCTCTCTCTCAGTTGTCCCGCAGCTGTTCGAATTGTTGGAACCGGTTCGCTTTAACACATAACGTGGACCAGTGGAGCAGAACGGCTTGACACGAAACCCTTGCCTCCTGATGATCATGTCCCTGCGATTACGCTACAAAGAGATGCGCAATCTGTTCGACGACAGATGCATAAAGTATAGTAGGTAATTTGAATGATTGTAGAAATTCGTTCGTGCGACTAGAAAAACACTCGTCTGTGCGGCGGGACTTGAGAACGAGAATGCTTCGCTACCGCTAAGTTATCGACAACGTTGCTCGATCCGTTACATATAACCGATAATTATCACAAAATCAACAACTAGGGTCTCTATCGTTTCCAAAATTAATTAAGCAACACTCAATTAATTCTCGATTGATGGGATGTAATTCGAACTTTGCGGAAGCCACGTGCAAACGGTAAATAGATCTAGTCTACCGAAACCCAAACGCAAACATCATGAGCGAAACAATTGTTACGTTATTCGGCCTCTAATTGGCCAGAAAGATAGAACGTGGACAAATAATTCGGCCATTTAGCACACAGATGCTACTCGTTTTAGCTCGCGACACGGCAAAAGAGCGCAGCAATGTGGAACAAATTAAAGGCGTCTCGCGTGACGCTTCTTTTTCCGCTAACCGTATCGAGACCGACCCGTCATCGAAATTACTCGGCAATTCCGATATTGGTCGTGCACTTCTTATTAGTCTTTTTTCATCTGCCTTGAATGTCGGACAAATATAAGCTCGAAAAAATCGCTTTGAACGAAACAAACTTTATTTATACGCTAACTTCGCGCGAGCGTGCGTGCACGTCAACTAGGAAACGAATAAAAATGCAATAGTTTTTTTTTCCTAACGAGAGTTTATGCACAAACTTTGCATGACGTTTTCTGCGAATTCCCGAAAAGCTATATATCGCGCGCCTGCGCGCGCACGCACGTGTCAAATGCGTGGCGCGTCAAATCCGCAGAGCGTTCATATTCCAACACTTATATCGCGAATCGAGAGAGAGAGAGAGAGAGAGAGTCTCGAGCGCCACTGTGTGATATCAATCTACAAGTATAATGTGAAAATCGATATTCGAGCATTTCAATGTGGGAAAAAGCTGCATCAGAATTTATTCGATTAATCGCACTGAAAATACCCGAATAATAGTATCCGCCGTAATTACAGTTCAAATATTTACACGATATCAATCGGGAACAAACGACGAAGCGGTTGATCTTCCAGACGAGAGAACCTGATCGAATTTGTCTACGAGAGGCCATTCCGCGGCCCGTGTGGTTTTCACTTCCTAATTAACACTCCGCGAAGGCCGTTACCTACCTAACATTTTCGTTAAACCCACTCTAGCTGACTACAGCTGAACCGGAATTGCGAATAAAAGATTGAATAAGATCGTCCTCCCGCCGGTAAGTACTCGTTTTTATTCCCCTCTACGTAATTTTACTAATTAATTAACTAATTGCTTCGGTTTCGTCGAAGAAAATTCTTCAGGCCGTCCAGAGTGCGGTAGCGTGTAAGGAGCGCCGGAGAGACAGAAATTCACTTCAACTATTTTCTCTTTTTCTTCTTTTCGCGCTCCTTTAACTGGGTCAATGGGTTAAATACAATTTAACCCGTTGTTCTATGACCGGGATCTCTTTTTTGTTCTGGAATATTCTTACGCAGAATTTTAATCCCATCATATCCCGCTCACAGAGCTTTTTTCTCGTACGCTGACGTTACGTATGTTAGCACTGACGGTGCTCAAAATTAGTGCTCTAACATTAGACCACACACGCGCACACACACACACACACACACACACACACACACACACGCGCGCGCGCGCGCGCGCGCGCGCACGCGCACATGTGAACGTTCACGGACAAAAACACCAAGAGTATTAAATTACTTTAATTTTACTACCGTGTGTAATATCACTGTGTGTGTGTGTGTGTGTGTGTGTGTGTGAAAAAATTGTTTAATTTTGTTCTTAATGTAATATAATACATACACGTGACTCGAGATTTTTTATAATAAAAATATCTGAGACGGCACGTACGAAATACAATTGTATTTCGCCGCATTACTAATCTTTTAACGGTGAAATTGCGGCCGAGAAAAACATGTGGTCGAAAATAACGCGCTCAAGGCGCATCGGTAATGTTTCGCACTAGAATTACGAACGGTCGCGTTACTTAAAAGCGACTTAGCGCCATTTAGATACTTGTTATCGTAGGAGGAAAGAGAGAGCAAGTCACTCGCTGGTGCTGCGAAATAGCCGAGTGGTGTTTCGCAGCCAGTTACTCTGACTACTTATTCATGAATTATTCCCGTAAGTACGCTGTAAAAACACGTTTCGCGATTCCTCAATGTGAGGCGTGAGATATGCGAATATAGGTCTCGCTAAATAGATATTTTCAGGCGTTAAACAGTATTAGAATGTCGAAGAGAATCGTCAAGCTCTTTTCCCAAATGACTCACGTAGCGTCTCGAATAATTACGTCTAATAAGGAGAAATTTCACAAAAAACCATCACAAGCATGTCGTCGGCTGCTCGTATTTACGGCAAAAAAAAAGAAGGGAAAAAAGCAACATTGTGGAATTATTTCATATCTCCAATCACCGATCAGAATACGCGAAAATGTCGGCTATCGTAAAAAACAACTTAACCGTGTTAGATAACTGATTATTAGATATCGATTCAGTTACGAAGAGGGAGATAACAGAAACAAGTGTCAGGACAAAAATGCCACTTCAAGATCGCACGAGCGATGCTTAATTGACAGCTTTAACAGCTTTAACTTTTGACAGCTTAGCGTTTGACAGCGTTTTAATGACGGAAGGGAACGTATTCATAAAAATTCGAATTACCTTGTAGCCGGCGAGGTCTTGAACTACACAGGAAAGTATGGCTTCCCTTCCCACCGATGCGGTTACGTTGGCTATTGGCTCCTTGAATTTGGGATCTAAAACGAGAAACAAAATTGCGATGTACTATCGGCGTGACATAATAATAGAACTTGTCCATCCTCGCGATAGGCAAGTAGAATGGTGGCATCGAGATCGTGAGATGCGCTCCTAAAATATCGAACACGTTTATACCTACACAGATATTAATCATTCGATGTTCAATCACGATCGTGCAGATGTATTCTTAACTTGCGCTTGTTAAATAAAAAGCGACAGTTCTAATTTTCTCGACATTTCCCTGATATGCAATAGAAACGACAGCGCTAATATCGGATTCATGCTATTAATTTAAAGAATTCCCGGTCCAGAGTATCGTTCAGTTTCTAAATCCGGAATGAACAAAAACGGCTACTTTGAGATCTGTTGATTGGTTCAACATTCGAATTCAATACATCGCAATGTTTGCTCTGAATATGTTATAATTATTGGATTTCGCTGATTAGGCTCTATTGCACGAGAATATCTCTTCTCTCATATATCATTTCTATCTTTCCCAATTAAAGTCGCTTCCTAATTAAATCTGTCACATCGTCCGTTTAAAAACGGACGGACAAATTGCGTACTAACGTGAAACGAACGCATTTTGCATCTTCAAATTCGCGCCCGATATGCGGCGATATTAGAGACGCGCATACGCGGGGAGACAGATAGAGAGGCGGAGGTAGGTAGCGTGAGAGATAGATGCACTTTTCGAATCGGCCTTTGCGGATTTATTCCGCGGTGATCTAACGCGATCTTATCGGGGGCACGATGTACTCTCGATGTAGCGGCGATATACGCGATTATTTCGCGTGCCGCGGACGCGACGGATCGATGGAGAGAGGGAACATTAGTTATGGATCACGAGGCGAATATTATACGGGCGGAGAGTAAGGAAGGTGGAAGTTACGTTCGCATAGAGAACGTTCGCGGCTGAGAGAAGGCTGAGAGAGTCCGGATCCGGTCGGTACGGCTTGACGAGGCAATGTGCGGATGGACGTCGTTCGAAATGCAAGTTAGTCATAGACAATTTGGCAACTTCGACATTAGCTACGCCAAATATATGCGCGAACGTTGACCAAGCCAGCAGCAGCATCGAGCGTACGCGGTATCGAATGCAGCTGCACATAAGACGCACATACATATCTCGAATATAACTCGCGCTGCTTGCAATTTACGATGACGATGACCGTATCTCGCTCGATGACCTTTTCCGCAGCGATCGCTACGGATTACGGAGTACAATAATAATGGCAGATGAATTTCATGCTCGCGCGCACACGCAGCTTGTAAATTATACAGAAATGGCAAATTTATTTTTTTATTCAGGTCGACAAATTTTATCATGTGTCATCCTTACCGGCTCGAAATAAATTGACTAACCTGAATGTAAATACGTGATAAATATCGCGAAAAAGGATTGAATTAAATTTTCCGCGTCGATATTTCCGCGAGACGCGTACGTGTGTGCGCGCGCGCGCGCTCGCGCAGAAATGCGCATAGCGCGACACAAAAAGAGCTACATCAGTTTCAAATGTACTCGATTAAAACGAATTCGGCCGAGGCATGTGTGCGCGCTCCAATGTGTATCCCAATATCATCGCTTCCCCGATAACAGGATTGTAAATAAAACACAAGTCCTGCCCGGCTGCCACAAAAGCGTCATCCGCGTTCTCCATTAACGATAACGCATAAACGTCAGCATCGATCAACGGGATCAAGGCTACTCCGAGCGCCGGGGGGGGGAGAGGGGGGCCCGAGTCGCGGCCGGTATCACCGCTGCGAAATTATTCCGGCAACTACATTACGATATTGTCCATCAAATCTCGTCCGAGTCAACAGCGAGCGAACACGAACGCGGGGGGCGTTCGCGCACGGCGAACGGCCACTCCGCGTGCTGAGCCATTAAAAGGTCAACATCGATCAAGGGCCAAAAATGCCCCACGGAGATTGTTTGCGCGAGAGCCACGCCGGGGGCTCGGGGGTGGGATGGAACGGGAGCGGCCGCCCGACGCGCGCGAGAACATAACCGTAGATGGCCCCGTAATGGGAGCATAAGGGAACCATAATTCCGGCGAGCGCGGCCGTCGGTTGGCGGGCCGCGAGCGCGTGGTGGCCCTCGCGGGAAATTCGGTCGTATCAGACGACTGACGCGCTTCGGCCGGCTCTGATGGATCGGTCTTAGCGGAGAATAACCGTCCCGAATCTGCGGGCTGCGTTCGCGGCCCGCGTCTTTTACCGCGCTCCGGAACCCGCTCCTCGTCTCGGATGACGGATAACGACTTCACGGTCGCCGTGTACTTCGCGCGGCGAGTGATTAATTGGACGAAATTACGCGGATCGAGACGGGAGCGTGACCGCGAGCGAGCAAACTGTGCGACACGGGGAGGGGAGGGGGAGGGGGAGGGGGCGTGCTTCGTTCTTTGATACGCTATCGCGCATGGAGTGCAGCGTCGCGTTCCGATACGTCGCGATACCGGCGACGACGAGTCGTTATTTGATCGAGAAGCAATCGCTGCTAATTAACGACAGGAGCGAGCGGGAAACGCAATTGACCGATCAGCGTTCTGACGGCGCTGACGAGATATTTATTCTCGCGATATAACGAGCGATCGTGTTAACTGTCTCGTCGACGTTCGTCAAGAGAGAAGAAGCGCGCCGCGGACGTTTCGAATGCTCTAGTTATAATATCAGCGGATCACCACGACGCGAAAATCTAATCGTTCGCGCGAATATCATCGAGACGTGTTCGTATTGAAGCGCGCGACAGACGTCACCCACTAATTAGTCTGGCGCGCGACAAGAGTGCATCCACGATTCATCATCGACGATTCGAGAGTGGCGGCGCGCGGGACTACATTTTTCACAATATCTTTTCACAATGTCGCGCAATGGAGATTGCGTTGTGCCCGGCAACGGCGTTTTCAAGTTATATAGTCGACGAAGAGCGTATGTAAGTAATTCAATAGTCGACAGCATTTCACAGAGAAAAAAATGCCAGCAAAGGAGGAGTGAACGGTCGGAAGTTAGGCGCGCGAGGGGTAGTGCGCGATAAAAAAATATCACGAGCGTTCGGCGATGTACGTCGTCGCTAATGCACTTTATGGAGGCCAACGTCAAAATATCAACGTCCCCGGGATTTCGAGCGCGGCAGCCGGCTGCATTCGGAAAAAAGCTCCGCTTCGCCGGGACGTTTACGATGCGCAATGAGTTTTCATTTACGATCTCATTTGTGCATGCCGACCGTATTTACGGCCACGGCATAATTCGAGATAAAAGTATAAGCGTGTATCACAGATACGAAGACAGATACGAAGGTGTCATTATTTTCGATCTCGCGTAGTGTGAGGCGATTAGAAAGTAAAAGATGGAACTTGATCACAAACGAGAGAGACGTAAAGACGGAGACGGAGACAGAGACAGAGACAGAGACAGAGACAGAGACAGAGACAGAGACAGAGAGAGAGAAAGAGAGAGAGAGAGAGAGAGAGAGAGAGAGAGAGAGAGAGAGAGAGAGAGAGAGAGAGAGAGAGAGAGAGAGAGAGAGAGAGAGAGAGAGACAACACCTCTTCACCTCATCAGTCTCTTTCTCTTTCTCTCTCGGTCGCATATTCGCGCATATTAACATATCGACAATGTCCCATTCATAAAGTAGAAGCCGTCGCGCGTCGCTATCATCCGTTAAGAGCCCGCATAACCATGACCCAGTGAACCGTATTAAAACACACCCGCAACGCGGCATTTCTCATCTCGACGACCATTCTTCCTCGATTTTCGCCGCTTCGCTTTCCAAGTGGAAAGCGTACGAGCGAGGTCACGCGGAAGAACACAAGGGGGACGAGAGGCGGAGGGCGGGGGGGGGCGAGAAAGCTCGTGGTTTTGCTCGACGAAAAGAAGCCCCGAACAATCCGGGAAGTCCTGGAGAGGGAGACGTCTCGCGTGCCGCGGGGAGATTATTTTCGCGAACGCGGGTTAGAAATCACTGACGGTATTCGCGCGAGCGCGGAATCCGCGGTTCGCCGTTATAACGCCGCCGGAATAATAAGAGTTTCGCCTGCTTAGCCCGACAGGTGCTTGCGCGGACCTATTTATGGCAACGACGCCATGCTCTCACGGATGCTCAGGCCGCGGTCGCTGGCAAATACGCATTGTGAAATCCGCAAAGGCGCCAAGTACTTTAAACAGCTGCCGCCGCTCCTCTTCTTTCTCTTCCCACCCTCTCTTTCTCCCTTTCTCGCCATTTGCTTCACTTTTGATTCTCACGAGCTTACCTATTTCGCGTTACTCGTTCTTGGGTTTCCATTGACCCGTGCACTCTCTCTCTCTCTCTCTCTTCCTCTCTCTCTCTCTCTCTCTCTCTCTCTCTCTCTCTCTCTCTCTCTCTCTCTCTCCCTCCGCCTCATTATCCACCGCGCCGTCGCTTATTTGAGTTGATTTGTTTCTACCTTGTCACTTGGTGCATTCGTTCGCTGTTCGCTCATCAGCTCTAGTTCGTTCTTTCATCACGCTGCTTGTCATTCAGAAATACCGTCGAGGCGCCAATCCTGCCGATGTTGCGGCAGCTGTTTGATTTTCATCTTTTCGCGCTCGCGCTTCGATTATTTCACGCGGATTATATTAACCCTTGTTTTCTCGCTGTGTTGCGCATCCCGCGTCGGAATTAATCCCTTCCGGTGGGCTCGCGGTGGCTAACACAATTGGCACCGCGGCGAATAACAGGAGCGCCGGGAGAAAAATATTTTTCCAGATTTGATTTACAACGCTCGCGCGCCCGCGCTCAGATATACGTACGCATACAAAATCGACCCGCCTAATTGCGAATTCACCCGCTCCTTTCCCCCTCGCGCCGCGGGAGCTCGCGTCTCTTTATACTCTCTCCGCCAGGTGGAATCATTTCCTTCCTTTTATGCATCGTCTAATTCAGCACTTGGACTTGTTCGTTTTTACTCATCGTTCTCCTTTTCGCGGCGCACTGGTGTGTCTCGTCGGTCGGTATGTATCGTTTTCTCTTTCCCAC